CGTATATTTATAAAATATATATATTATATATATTACTTTTCATATTTTTCAAAAATTATAATAAAATTAATCCTAACAATTTTACTTTTTTTAGAGGAGTTCATTGTTTACAAGCTTACAATTTTGAATACATTAGAGTACTTATAATCTATACGAACGAAATTTATATAAAAGCACAAAGAATTTCGATTTAATTGTGTATACTGAAATCAATAAATAATTACAACTCTTAAATTTTACTGTACCTCTCATTTAAGTTTCCAGTCTTATCACATTGAGACCCAAATGATATTCTGCCAGGAGTAGATTCCTGATATTTTATTACATCAAGTAAAATTATGTTTGAGTATATTATTATATTCATATTCCTACAATGTTATCACAAATAGTAATTCAATTGTAATCTAAAATAAATCACGTTATAAATAATTTAATTATATTACAAATGATTGTTAAGTCATGTTATATGTTGTTTTTATTTATGGTGTTTATTGTCAATTAATCAGATAGATTTACCGATTTGAATGTGTATTGTCAATTTTGACATGGGTAAATCTATCCAGATGGGTTTCAATGTGGTAAGTGACATACCCTTTGTTTACGGGAAAATATATTTCACACTGTATAATATGCGCTAAAAGTTGCATAAACATTTGGAAATAAATACTTTTATTTGCAAATTTAAGAGGTTTCGTAGAAAAATAATCAGAAATGTAAGGATTATTATTACACGTGCAAAATAATCAGTCATATTTTTACAACCACATTCGTAATGGTCATTAATTATGGAATAATTTCGAATACATTAAATACAGGTGAAAAAATGTACACTTTATACGATTACGCAGAAGCATCTGCTTTAATACAAGAGAAATAGATTTCTTTTTCTACATATATTTTAAATTTACATTATCATTTTTAACACGTTGACTGCTATGTACAATTCACATACTATCTTTATATGAGTTTCTAGTATTATTTCTATTTAAATAATTTTGCAATAGCGTTCTGTTCATTTATTTTTAATTTGTAAAACGAAATAAATAATGCTCTTAACATTTACAAAAGATTTACTACTTCATGTTTGAGGTGGAACTATGTACACAAGTCAATTTTTAAAATGATTTATAATCAAAAAGTTATGAGTTTTATTGACATAATGTACTTTAATTAAATATAAGCAATATATTCTAAGAAAAAGTTAGTACAAAATAAACGAAAAAGTAGGAAGAAAATTTTCATTTCCAAATATAAACAAATTTGTTCAAAAACTAATCTCTGCTTTTAATTACATCGAATCAAAATTAAATAGATATATATATAGAACAAATGTTGGATGCTAACGGTACCCAAGGTTATTTTATGGTCAAACATATACAGAGTATTGTTACCAATGACTGTTGTAAGCAACATTTGTTAAAAGTTCAACTGGTCGACACCTGCACATAAATAAATTTTACATTGTTAGATCATAGTAATAGATAGGCGTTAGGGTACGATAGCGGATATAAAACAACGGAACTGTTTGTATACAATTCATGAAACTGTGCCCATTGTCCACTTTTATACAGACATATTTGCTGTCAGTATTTCTCTAACAGACACCGTTTTTAATTAATGGCTTTAGAATTTCTATTATATTCTGGAACATAAATCAATTATGCAAGTGGCATGTCTGCACTGCAGATTACATACTTATGCTAAGAACAAAATTTTCACATTTAATTAATACAAATATTAAGCTGCTATTTAATTAATAATAATAATGATAATAATAATAATTATAATTACACGCTAATGATAGTTTACATATGGAAAATAATGTTGGTGTACATTACCATGACTGTAAAAGCAGGTTTTTAGAGGTAAAACGTATTAATGGATAATAAATCTTCTTGAAAAATCATTAACTTAAATATATATATATATATAACATATCTATTAAATTAGATATACAATTATGATATACAATTGTTGTCCTAATAGTTTATTATTTTCTTTAAAAGGAATATAAAATCATATTTATTCATTATATAATTCTTTTAGAAATTCATTAAATAATATTATCTGAATAATATACTGAAATAATTCAGTATAAATAAATAAATGAATTGCAATTAGTAAGTATATTTATCACAATTACATATGAATTTCACTCAAGTAATAAACTATGTTTTACATTTATACATTAGCGTTTGTATTCTGTTATTAAATTTTTAAACAATTTTTGTAACAATTATTTCTTTAATAAAAAAGCTATGAAATAAGATTATTTACATATAATAATTTGAATATTTTTTTAACGATAAAAAAATATTAATGACTAACATGAATTACAATTCAATGATCATAATTTGTAAATGAACTGAAGCTATTTGTGCAGATATAGATACTTCTAAATTAATTTTCAGACATCGAGATCAGGTGGTGATTTTGTTTCTCTATTAAGAGTTTTATCAGAGTTCCTATTTACTCTTTTTAATAGATTGAGTTTTAGAAAATGGTATTTCTTACAAATGCATAGTATTTAAAGTCTAAGTATTTACAAGTAATGGCTTTCCATCTTCTTCTGTTACAGAATATGTTTTCTTTTAAACAAGTTGAAGCTTTAGTTGACATTTCAATTTTTTAATTTTTGAAATGGTTAAAATTAAATGTCAAATAGCCAACCGCTTCATCGCAGTTATTATTTTTGCGGAAACAATAACGCTGAAACATTAACTTAGAAAAAATTGGAAACATAATTTAGTATTTCTGAATTATTTAGCGATCAACGTGTTAAATTAAGTTTTTTTGAATCTGTGATAACAATCACAAACGGTAACACTGCTTAAGTCAATTGAATTGCACTATCTTTCATCTTCTTACTTTTCTTTTTCACAGTCTTAACTTTCATGAGAGTCTTTCCTGCCTTTCCCTTGATAGGTATAGTTTTTTCTTTTAATGACTTCATTTGTAACTTCATTTCAGTTTTTGATAATTTTTTATTTTTTATAGTCCCCACTCTGAGCTTGTTGTTTTTTTTAACTTTGGTAGAGGTTTGAATTGCTGAACCGGGTCTTACACAAGACCCGGGTAGCTTGTACTAGGCTGCAACTTTAACCTTTTTCTTCCTTTTCTTCTTCTTTTTATCATGATGTAGTTCTTGTTTTTTAGCTATACAAAAGCGGCAATACCAGTCCTCGTTGTCAGCTGGTGGTACTTGCATACCAACACACACCCTAAACGATTAAAAATATATACATTAAATAATAAATACAACTATAAAATGAAGTTGTCCTCATAATGTACAGTACTTTAGATTGTAACATATAAAACAAACTTTGTTGTCATTTCAGGCTACTATTATATTAGCATTAATGTCTAAATTAATGATCTGAATAGAAGGTTTAATTACAATGTTTGCAAGTTAACACCTTTTAATATAATTAGAATATATTTATTGAAGGAAAGCAGATACCCAGAAAATTTTATCTTTTTACAGATAATTTAAATAGTCTGGCTGCTCTAGAGATGAATGTACTGTCCTGCAATTAATTTGTTATATTATTATTTTTCACTTACCAATGATACCACGCGTCGCAATCATCACAACCAACCATAGGAGATCCATCATCCTGGTTGCCACAAGCAGGACATATCCACACTTGACGACCACCTTGATCCTGAAAGACTCATATCACGATAAAAACACAATACATATTGCTTTTACCATATTTATAAATAACCCAACCCATCTTTTGTACTATTAGCATTCTGAAGTATAAAACTGTATCAAATAGTTTACAATATAAATAATTCATTATTAGAAAGCATATGGTTTTATTTAATTCTGAATTTATGAAGTTGATGAAAAAGTATTCACAGAAAAATTGAATACATATATGTAATTTATAAGATGACTCATACATATTATACAAAAATTGTAATAATATGTACAAATAATTGTATACAGTACATGAAAAATGTTTACAAAATTCAATGAGCGAGGAATGATGGATACATGATACAAAAATCTTTCTTGAATTAAATGATCATTGGCGATTGATATTAATATTTGTGATAATGTAGAAAGGTATATGATTTACTGCTGGTATTGTCAACATGAATACTAGGGAAGGATTAGTATGATTTATTTAAGAACCATGGTTTTGACTTGCGGTAATTAAATAAATTTTCACTTGGCTTGCAAATTAAGAATATTTTATAATGTATATCTGTCTATTTCTATATGAGCTATTTTTTAATTAACTCATACAAAAACCAAGTTCACTGCACCAAAATTGATGATTTTTTGAAAGAATATTTAACTTTCTTAGTCTTATAGATTTTGTTGGATTAAATAGTTAATCAACTCCAACATTAGAGGTTTTGTAATAATATTTTAATAATTTTTGATTATTAATTAGAAATAAATATTATGTAATACATATACTCAATTAGATCCTAATTTATTTTGTATGTACTATGAAGTAATTACCCTAAAATTGGATAATATTATAACCAGAACTAAGAAAGTATATTTTATACATGGACCACAAATAATATAAATGTAATATATGCATTTCAGTTCCTAGTATATCACACAAAATATAAATTTTTTGTAAAGTGAGAAATATGGATTCTAAATTTGAATATATACAATATTACTATTCCATCATTTTCTAATTAAGAAATCATATTTCACTGAAAATACTACAATACATAAATGAAATGGAATATTAAGAAAAAAATATTTTTTGCATTAAAATTAATATTTTGTGGACAATAACTATAGTGGATACAAGGATTGAAAGAATCATTACATTAACTTATATTTCATATTTAACCCCCTGCATGGACATTTAACTTTGAATTGTACAGGTCACGTGGAACATTTAAATGAACACCTAAATGGAATAAACGTATATGTTATAACAAGCTTCTTTCTAATCAAATTATATTATTTTTACAGTTACAGTAATATAAAGCTGTTGCAGTAATATAACAGACAATATTGTTGTTTTATAAAGTAGAAAAGTATCAACATGTTTGGATATGTACTTTCCATTTAAAGGGTTGTTAGCAAAATTTAATTATTCAATTTGAGGTATTATACATATTTTTATATTTAAATATATTAAGTCTTTACATATTTTAGGTATATAATATGATATTAATTGCGTATATATTTAAACTGTATAATAAAAGATGAAAAATATTTAGCCCTTAATTTAAAAATTACAAAAATTTATGCTGTTGAGAAACTTATGAAACGTTCTAAACTATGAACCTGTACCGTACTTGTATCAATTGTATTTAATTTGAACAATTCTTCAAAATGTATTATTCAAGATATATTATTAAAGATGTATATTTTGTGCATATTTTAAAAGAATTCAGTTGAAGATAAGATTTTAAAAATTGAAGTTAAAAAGTGTCTAAGGGTAATTCAGGCAAAAGCTGGAGACATGGCATCAAATATTTCTAAAATTTGAACTAAGTGGAAAATAGATTAAATTATCATTGTACAAAGAATACCTAATGACTTTTGTTTAGAATGGGAATGTACTCACCACAGTAGTGGTTGGTGTTGTGGGCAGCACGATCCTGCCATTTTCTTTGTCTTCCTTAGCATCATCCTTTTTAAGAGCTGCATCTGCTTTCGTCTCTGTGCCGTTAAAACCGTCCGTTATATTCCTAACTGTTTCGCATGCTTTGTTTAATGACAACATGCAAATTGCATGCAATCAATCAGTTCTTCAATATTTTGATGTCTTTTTATTACTTCCCTTTCTTATTCTGGTCATTGTTTTTGTTTTTTATTAATTTATCATTCATTTAAATTTAAATTTACTAGTGTCACTGAACTAAACGAAGGGAACATTGTTTAAATATTATTTAAAATTAACAGAATTATTACGTCATTACCGTTACCTGTTTGTTTATACATAAGATTAAATCAAGTCAAGGGACATAATATTTTTAAGGGTACACATTTTGCTCACTAATAAATATAGATTAGTGTATTCTTTGACACGAATATTTAATGTGGAATAAAGTTCGTTTTATAATGAAAATAAGGCAATTTTATGCACAAAAGGAAATTCAACATTTTAAATAAAATTTTTACATTAGCTGGTACTCGATAACTGGGGTCGGTTATTTTGTTACAATTCCGAATTAAATTAGTTACTTTTCACATTAATTAAAAAGGGGCATTCAATTCTGGATGTGTATATAAACAGGAATTTCACGTTTTATTTAGTTGTTACTTTTTCCTTTTAAAGTAAACATAAAATAAAACTCTTTTTCATAGATTGTAATGCTGTTTGCTAATTTCTTAATCCAGTATTTACTAAGCATCTGAAAATTCTTATTGTAAAAACTGTTTCCTATTAATTTTTAATTTTCATGTATTAAATATTTGAATGCACTATTGTAGTTGTATACAAGTAATATTATTTATATCTTTAATAATAATACTAACATCATTATAGAATACTTTCCCTCAGTTATGTATATTATATTTAAAATCTGTTAAATATTTTATAACTATGAGAAGGCAGTTGTTTTGATTCTGAAAATTAATCTCCTCTTAATAATCAGATTAAAATGAGCAGAGTGTAACATAGAGAAGGAGAGCGAGCGAATATACTAAAAGCAAGACAGAGCGTTATAAGGGATTCGTTGCACGATTTTCGATATTTCAAAGTGTATGGTGTACCTATTATCCAGCGTAAAAATTGGTTTTTCTATTCATCCTATTTTAAAGAATTTTTTCCTATGCACTGATAAGATATTCTCACCAAATTTGGTTTCAACAAAGTTTGTTAATAAATGTGTATGACATCTTATTTAGCAATGGTATAATTTGTAAACATAAATTTTATTCTATTATTTGTTTACTTATTTTTCATCCCCCATATTATTGAAACGATTTCAGATAGAAAAAATGTTATAAAATAAAATTTAACTCATAAAATATATTGAACAAAAAGATAATTGCAATCCTTTTTGAACACAATTCTTTTACAATATAATAATGATCAGCAACTAATATTATACCCATTAGACAAGAGAACATGATTAAACAACATTTTAGATACAAAATCAGATATTAATTTCATGCTTGCAAACACAAAAAATAAATTTTTAATTATAATTATTTGTATACATGGAAAAAATACACATAACTCATGTAAAATGCAATTACTACTTAAAAAATCTGAAATTCAAATATCTTTCAAATCTCCAATAC